GGGGGAATCCCAGCCCCAAATTGAGAGATCAAGCAAATTTTCTATAATCAAATCGTCATATTAACCACATTTAATTTCAAAACATCAGCCTGAATGAGTTTCAAATAGTTACAACTTAACATTGACGAACGGATACACTGTCGGAAAAAAATACATCACATATCTGAATGTGAAAATGTACATATACGCCTCCAATTCTAACCTTGTCTCTCAAGTATCATTTCCAGGTACGATTTAGTGATCCACGGCCCAGTTATACCCATCCTTGATGATTCAGTCCCAACTATCTACAAAAATATAAACTACGTCAAACATAAATTCAACTCCACAATTGTCTAGGTTGTTGAGAAGATAGCTACAATATATGCCAAGTGGATCTAGAAAAAGTACGATGGAGAACTTAGTAGCTAAAGTTAAACAATAAAACACAGGAATTAGAAATAACTCATATACTAGTGACTGATGAGCTCATGTTGACCACAACTATTTAGGGTCGGAACAAAAATCTAGACAATATGCCATGACTGACCAAACTAGGAAGAATGATATCACTAGGTTGGCAACAAAAGCTAAAATTGAGGTACATATAGAATAGAAGGAGAGTATAAAATTATGAATCTTAGACGACAGCAACAAGTTAGTTCCACAAAGACAGATTTTACCCAATACAATAAGAGGTAATATAATAATTATGGGAACCATTCTAATGATGGCACAACTTAAGAGGTAAGAGAGCCATGTGTTAACAGTGGGAGTTGCACACTTACAAGAAGAACTTATGAGCATAATTCGAACGTATGTGTCTTGATGCCGAATGCAATCATTTTTCAAACAGTAATAGTAGGTCCACTATGTATGTGAAAACAAAGACAGAACGGCATTAAAGTATCCAGATAATACCATTATGAATATTTATCTATTAGCATATAGCAGCAATTTTGACAAAATCTTCCATTAAGTAAAGAAACACTGAAAACATGATACAGACAAATCGAAGGTTCGGTTTGCCATAAATATTGAGAAAAATAGAGTTTTGGGTGCAATTGGATATACATTATTTTTGGGGAAAAAAAATATTTGAATGGAAAAACTGATTTAAATATTGAAATTCCTTTTGTTGCGAAAGTGAAATATGTTTTAGATTGTGAATGGATGAGATACAAGGTAATGACTAAAGCTGATGTGAAAAAAAAAAGTAAAATAATGAATTTAAATGATTGATAGTTAAAAATATGAGTGGATGAATAGTGAATTTGGCTGGGAAAATGTGTATTGCTGAGAGGAAGAAATAAGAGTCCATACTTTTCTATTTGTACCCCTGAGTACCATATAGGTCTCTCCCAGAGTATCAATTGTTTCCAAAGACACTGAAAGATTGCCAGCAATAACTGAGGTGGATGCTCGTTTATAACTTACTACCACTGTATAACCTAAGGCCAGCAAACCACCCAGGGTCAGCCGCCCAACCTGATACAAAGAAAAAGAAAATGAAAATAAGGAAAAACAGATATTTTTCCATGTTGCTTTACAGAACATTCAGAGAAAGAAAGAAAAAAAAAAGAGAGAAAAAGAAAAAGAAAAAAGGAAGAAAAACCAAAATCTAAATAAATTTGTGATTTTAGGAACATGGAATTCTTTTTACTTATGGAGAGTAATTTTGGAAATGTCTTATACCTCAAATTCAGCTTTTGGTCGGATGATGAAATTTTTATCCACGATCCTTTGATCACCTAGGGAGAGATAATACTTGATACCTGATTGCCGCACCTTGATCCAATCATTTATTCGTGCTTCTTCACTAGCAGAAGGCGGTCTCAAGTACATCTCGATAAAACTTGAAGCAAAAATCCACAAGCTCAGATTCTACTAGACATAAAGAGAGAGTGCCAAATTGAAAATGGCAATAGACCGTTTTGATGGGCTGCTAAAGCAATAAGGTATGATCGACTGGACAACTTACTTGTCGACTTGGGCTTCCTTTCCGTGAAAAATGTATTCAGCATGCTCACTTAGTGACTGGCACACAGTCATTTTCAAATTAAGAAGGTTCCGAGTCCCGAGAAATAAATCAAAGTATCAAACAACTTTAGACAACTTACCTCACTTCTGCATTTTAGCTTGTAAATTGGCTCTCTAAATGATGAAACAAAACTGTTGTTTATTCTGATCTATAGAGAAAAAAAAAAAAAAAAAAAAAAAAAAAAAAAAAAAAAAAAAAAAAAAAAAAAAAAAAAAAAGAACAAACAATCAACAATAAAAGAAATGTCGTTACTGAAAGTGAGGACATGTAAAAGTTGACAGCCAACCTGTGCATGATGAAGGTCTGGCTCAATATGCTTTCTGAAGAGTGGAAAAATGCTGTCAATGAGGTAGTCCAACGAACATGACTCGCCAATATCATATTGCACTTTGGAAAGCAAGCTAAAATGAACGCCCCCAACCTTGATTCCCCATTAACATATGAATTCAATCAAACCACTTAAAGAATTCATTATGAAGAAAGACCAATTAACCAGAATGTAAATGAAAAATTACCACTGCGACTCGTATATCCAGCAGAGATCGTAGTTTTGCATGAAGGGCATAAGTGCCATCGACTATAACCTATGATGTAAAGAGGATAATCAACTCAGCAGATTAATAACAAGTTGAGTGTAACAGTAACAATGAACAGACTTACCACTCCGCCTGAAATGCTCTTTATAAGATTAGAACCAACACGTTTTCTCCCTTGAAAATTGAATAACGGGCTCAATGTGTCACGGCCATTTATCAAGTCCTGCAAACATCTCAGTTAATGAATGCATATTATTCGTTCCTCGAATCACGATTTTATCAGCAGTCATAAAATAGTCGACTTGTCATAATCGAGAGCTGTATGTCTAAATTCTTATTTTATGCTATCCTACATGGCTACACCATATACATAAAAAAATTCTTCCAGCAACCTATCATATCATCCTTCATTATTATCAGTGAATACCATAGAAAATTATTCAGGCAAAAGATCTCACTAGAACATCTGAAAATATTCTACCACGACTTTGCATACATTGACAAAAAATGATGTCAAAAAGAACAGAGACATCAAGTGGTCTAGTAAACCAATCTAAAATGCAAATATACATTTGTTCTGTTTGCAATAACAAAAGGTTTAAATCCAGTCATACACCAAAAATAAGGGGGAAAAGGAGTAAGTTTAATGACAAGGCATGTCAAAAGAGCAAAAGCACAGAAAACACCACACCTCGAGATTTTTTACAAGAAAGTCAAAATCAATTGAATCTAAATCCTGCCCATCGTCGATTCCTGTGCGATAGTTCTCCATTGAGATAACAGTGCAACCAATCACAGACGCCACTTTTTCAGCTAAGCTTCAAGAAAAATAACATTCACTTTTGAGTATAGAAACTCCACAAAACAGATAATGCTAAACATAGCTTTGCCTTGAACAATCAATATTGACATCCAAGAAGCTGAAACTATGTGACCTGGACAATCACCTTGATTTTCCTGATCCAATTGGACCTCCGATCCCTATGATGACAACCCCATCTTTCTTTGACCTTAGTTCTTGAATAGATTTCACCAGCAAGTAATATCCATGATCAAAAGACTGCATGATGCGGAAAATCAATTATTCTTGTATAATCATAAAGGGTACTAAACGCCATTTTCAGAGCTAATTCCCCAAAGCAGAAATCCGCTGCTTCAATCTTCAAATAAATAACAAAATAATCACACACACACACACACACACGCACACACACACACACACACACACACACACACACAACCACAGAGAGAGAGAGAGAGAGAGAGAGAGATTCTGCCTTCCTCTGAAGGCAATATTGGTACAACACCTTACCCAAATATGCATCTCAAATACCCGTCCCAAACTTGAAACGTAAACCCAGCGAAGTGATTGGACTAGTAAAGATTCAACACATAAGCAACATATGAACAGACTACACCAAAGAAAAAACCATCGAATCATTCTTTTGCCCCAAGAAAACTCCAACTTCAATCATTCACAACAACAAGCTCGTCCACGATCAAACCACGCGAAAACAAAATGGAACACACACTCATGCATCTTCAAACTCCTCACACATCCCCAAGTTCAAGAAACCAAACAACTCCAAGAATCAGCCCATTTGCCAATTTGAAACTGAAAAACAAAATTACCCAAACTTTTAGGGGAAAATAATTTACCACATGTAAGGGAAGAGACTGGAGAATGGATGATGAAGAAGACGAAGACGTTGATGGCTGCTGTTGATACAAATCACGCCCACCCTCTTGGAGTACACGCTGCACCACCTGATCATCCATCGATTTTTTCGCCGGCCCCAAATTCACCGGAAAAATTGCAGCTGGGTTTCTTCCCAGCGAAGGGAAAAATTCTTTTCTGTTGATATTAACGGAAACTCGACCTTGATAGAATGATTATGAGCTTGAGAGCTCAGAAAACAGAATCTCGGGCTTCGCTTTCAGTGATCTACAAAGAGAGCGATTATCCTATTTGCGTTTCAAGTTTATATGAACTGTGTTATGAGTGTTTCTCGCGTTTTTATTCTTTACTTCCCCCTTTCTGCCGCATTTTTTCCTTTAATAATATTAATAATAAATTGGAGATTCTATTGTTCACGTGCGTTTGTCGCCGTTAGATTAATTATTCACGACGGTTACATGATAATAATCTAACGATTACAAATCTTGACGGAATAGTTCTATAACAAAACTTGTAAAATTTCTCAATATTAATAATTTAATATTGCTAGATTCTAATCATGTGAGATTTATCAGATAATATTTCACTAGTATTCAATTCAATCTTATATGTTATATGTGTGTATTTAGTACTTAAAATTAAAATATATAATTAGAATATTACATCTTACAATTTTTTTTATTATTATAAAAAATAAATGATATAAATATAAGCTATTTAACTTTCATAATAATCTTTATATTAGTTATGATCAATTATATAGATAAGAAAATATTGAATTTATTATTATAGCAATTAAGTAGGGAATTCAAAGGAGTTTTGCCATGAAATAATAATAATAATTAACTAATTTTAATAAAAAATTTCTTAATGAAAAAATATTAAATAAATAGTTTAAAAAATAGAATAAAATAACATTTAATGTGATTTTATGATTAATTAATAGTGATTATTATGTAATAAAATGGATAAACAATATAATTACTACATTAATGCAAAATATACTGAAAAAGAATTGAAAAACGGAAACAATAATTTTTGGCAATCGGCATTTGTATCATTTGGAAATACATATATAAAGATATATTTTGGCAAACATCATTTGTATTATTATTATTATTATTATTATTATTATTATTATTATTATTATTATTATTATTATTATTATAATATGCTCATTCACACTGAATTTGACGACTTATTTTGTAAGGAAATTCGGGATAAATGTTGCTTGATTTTTCCCAACAAAAATATATAGTTATATTATAGAAAACTATAGAAAACTAGTATGTAGCAAACAAATAAATAAAGTCGACCAGGTAATATTGATTAATTTAAAAATAATATATAATATTAATTTTTTTCTTTAAATTTTATCATATGATAGTTTAAATTTTATTTTATATGCATAATTTATCCATTTAAAATAAGTATAATTCTACAAATTTCAGGATTATCTATTTATTTAATAATACTCTTAATTAATCTTTTTATTATCCCTTTTATTAGTAATAATTTATTACCAAATATTATTTTCATTCCTTATGTTGAAGTTGGAATTTTTTTGTTACGTTTTTAAAAATGAAATTTAGTTTGTAAAACCATGTCTCCAAAAAGACACCATTTTAAAATGGAATATGTTGGGTATGTTTTTGTTATTGTTTTTTTTTTTATGTTTTTATATTCTTCTTTTGAGTTCATTTGAGCTCGTCTTATAGATTTATGGTTCATTAGTTTCATTTTGCTCATTTGCGTGTTTTCATGTTCTTCACGTATTTCTATATTTTTCGTCTATTTTTATATTTTTCTATAGAAAAATATTGCTTGGATATTTATGTTTGGAACGATCATGAGAACAGGATCAAAATCCACTTGACCATCAGAACATGATCAAAATCCACTTGACCGAACCGCACGAGACACGACCACCTGTCGGTCAAATTTTTTTTTCATCGAGACCCACGAAACCTTCCTAGGTCATGGAGTGCTTCTGCCCTTGAAGGTCCGCGGCCGCAGAGGATCTCGCGATCGCGGAAGTCTTGGTCTTCACGACCAGAGGAGCCTTCTGCGGAGTGTTTCCGTCCTAGAAGGTTCATTGCCGCGAAGGGCACTGATTATGCTAATTAATGGCAGACCTGTCTCGGACGCATCGGGACAGGTTTTCAACCTCATTTTGAACCTGTACAAATAACAACTCATATAAGATTATGAGGTCATCTTGGAACACTTCAAGAACGAACTGGGGACCGATTCTAATGCTCGGGAACACCAAAACTCACTTGTAAATACTTTTTCTTAGAAATCTCTCTGCTTTTTTTATTTCTCTTGCATTTGGATTCTTGAGATGTATTGTGTTGGTATTGATATAGTAATTCTTCAATCAATTGTAAGTTTCTATTGTCCGATCATTACTGTAAATCAATTTAGAATTTCTTACATTTGACTAACTTGAATTTGAATCCAAACATGAAGTAATTCATCCACCTGAGGGGGAGAGGGGGAGGGTGGTGGGGAGGAGGATAGTATGATATTTAGTGTTGGTGTAATATTTTCTTATGTTTCTCTTTGCTTTGTAATTTTTGTGTTTATGTTCTTTTCCATGTGTCTTTTACTTTTATTTTTTTTTCCTTATATTTTACGTGGCTTCGTATGGTTTTTGTTTTTAGCTCTCAGGGCATTCATTCGAGGAGCTTAATGAACCCAAGTTACCCATTTCCCTCCTCGTATGATTTATTATATAATGGGTCAATCTATGACTTAGGGTATTATGACCATACAATTTTTTTATCCAAGAGCAGCAATAGGATGCTTAGACCTTAATCGATTCCAGGCAGTGTTTTTATAAGTCCTGCGAGTTTTTTTCGTAGTATAGTTCAAATCTTGATTGGATTCTCGTTATTTTGGCATTCTAAGCTTCCCGAGAGGGGAATATTGAGGCCGAACATGTTTGCTTGAGTGCCCAACTGGAGAACCTAGTTGAGTGCATTCGAGCTAGTATCAAATTTATAATTTCTCTCCCGAACTCGTTATACAAAGTGCCTCTATATATGTATGAGGGTAGGCCTCGAGAAGAAGCTTTGGGGCATAGCGAAAAACTCGTTCTTGTTCTTGCTCGTGTAATAGCCCAAGCAACCCGAGATGAGAAGATTGAGGCTAGATGTTATCGGTTGAGGGTGTGCTGTTACAGTGCCCAATAGAGCGCATTCAATACGTTAAGACACAAATCAATGAGCCTATCATCGATGGTCTTTTCCGTTGCTTGGTGCCCAAACCTATCAGTCAATGCATATTGGCAAGCTTGATGAAGAGAGAGATGTGGTTCCACATGTCGGGAGTGATACCCCGGTGGCAGAGATTCTTTAGCCCGATGGAGAAGTCCTTGAATTTTGATTTTCTCAAGTTTCTCCTTCCACTATCGACTTGGAAAGTTTATCATTTGAGTCGTTATCCTTTACCATGGACAAAACTGGGTTTAGATCGACTTGCTCAATCACGCTTTCGTATTTCCGAAGGTCAACTTATGGAGCTCTGAAGCAAAAGGTTGTAGGTCACTTATTTGTTATCATCGATGCCCGTGCACACTTATACAAGAACATAGTCATCCGAGCCGATCATGTCCGCCTTCATGCCACACTCCCTATGCTTACACTTTTAGAGAAGACGAAGGCGTGGAACGATCATCATTTCCTTTTAGATCCCGACTGATTTTGATATCGGTTTTGTCAAGCTAATGACATTAAACAATCATTTTTTGGGAAGCAATCCAAGTTCTCTTTACTATTTTCTTAGTTTCATTTCTTTCATATTTGTGCAATTTTTACTTTTGAATAAATTGTGGTTTTGGTGTTTTGTTGGTTGTGTTGATGTGTACGATTGTACGAGTTTGTGGTTTAAATGGGACAATTTGTTTTGAGACATATATTTTGAAGTTTTGGGTTACGTATATGTGAGTGGCTTGAATATGGTTGATCATTCTCGACGCCATAATCTATCGTGGTTAATATTGAGTTTGTATCTTTCTACTCTTTTCGCTGTTTCATGTGATTTTCTTATTATGTGTTCTTGTTTGCTTTGCTAGTACTTGTCCATTATAAAAATTGTAAGGTTCACATATTCACTCCCCAATTATTTGTTGAAGAATGATGACATTGTCTCATTTTAAGTGTGGGGGAGATTTTTTTGGATGTTGCATGCTAATGTGATGAATCGGTCTAGTGGTTCTTAGTTAAATTTTTGTTTATTTCTATTTACTTGGTGAACTAGTCTAACTTTTAGGATTTTATGTGTTTTATGTTGATTCTGCTACATGGTGTGTGATGTTGTCGATATTGTGATTTTGGCGCTTGGAAAGACATCTTAATTCATTTTGATTGTCATCTAGTGTGTGTTTTGATGAATTGAATCCCAATTCCCTAAGTCGTTTGATGACTTGTTGGTATGAGACACATGACACAAGTCAGTTGTTTGGTTTTGTCCCTCGTATAGCCCGATTGGCCAATGCTCTAAGCAGCAGTTGTTTGGTTTTGTCCCTCGTATAGCCCGATTGGCCAATGCTCTAAGCAGGGGCAGACGCAGACTTTATGGACAACGGGGGCACAAACTACAGTCGATGGTTAACGTTGAAAGTAAACGGTCAAATCAATATTTAACCAACTAAAAAATAAAAACATTAAAAATTTTGACCAAGCACATTGTTTCTTATTTAATAGCTAGAGTTGAGTCTCTCATTCCCATATAAGAGACAAATTTGATTCAACTATATAGTATATACATTTATGTATAATATTTATTTATTTTTCATGTTTTTTCAATTTTGGGAGAGAAAATTAAATAAACAAGAAGTTGAATATAACATAAACATAAATTTCACAACTTAAAAAATAACATATTATTGAAGGTTAAATAATTCTAAATATTTTTTTTATTTTTTTTATATTGAAATAACTTTACATAATAATTAATAACATGTATTTTTTTATGTCAAGATAATAATACATTTATACATATAATATATATATATATATTTATATTACACAAAATTCTACAGGGGCCCGTGCCCCTATGACCTCTATGTAGATCCGCCACTGGGTCTAAGCTAGTTTTCTTTTTAATTTGCCTCTCTTGAGTTTTCCTCTTACAAAAAGCAGAAAGTTAGTGGTAGCCGAAATAATTATTCTCCAAATGCTCTGATCACTATTTATATATTATTTTCTTAATTTGACTCATCTGTCCTTAATTTAATGAATGTAATAAAAACTAAATAATAAAATCAACTGATTATTTTAACAGTTTATCAACGTATTTTAAAGTAAAAAAAAAATGATGAAAAAGATAAAGGACTGAAGTAGGTCTATCAGCGTTTAGTTTAGCTGACATGTTAAATCTTTTCACATGAGTTGTAGTAAAATAGCTCTGTCGATTTTTTATGTCATGGTCATTTGAATTTTAGCAACACTGCTTCAGAATTAACATAAACGATATTTGGAGTATTGTGTTCTCTTTTTGTCTTCAGATTTGTAGCTAAAAAACAGAGGATGCGCTAATTGTGTCTAATTGTCTCATTTTTTTTTTATTTTTTTTTGTTCTCTCCGTTTAAGTGACCTAAAAAACACGCTGAATAGCATTTTTGGGAAAATTCATTTTTGTTCCTATGAATCCATGTTAAATGCTTAGGGCCGTGGATAACCAAAAGATTCTGAATATGTTTATTAACGTTAAATCTTCGATTAACATGTTGTTTTCCCACCTATTGATTTTAGAGTTGCTTCACTATAACACTTGAATATTGGCGGTACATTTATCACAAATGCATCCCTTTTTTCCATTGTCGACGGATGCCCTCACCTGAAGGTATTATCTCACTGAAAAGGTTAAAAGAAAAAGCTAATATAGTACATATATTATATAATTGTTTATCTGTTATTGCATTTATATTGAGTGTTTTGACTGAAAATATTGGTGACTCCTCAAGGGCTTATTTACTCTTTTTTTTTTCATCTTGTCTGTCGAGCTCCTTCTCCCCTTTACTAGCGGAAGCTTTAACTTTTCGGTTTGCATTGCGTGTTGCTATGGATTTGGGCTTAAATATCCAGCTGGTCTGATTCCATGGGAGTTGTCAGTGGTATCTCCCTTCGTCATGATTTTGACCCTATGTTCGGGATATTTGATGATATTATAGTCCTTCTGTCTCGTTTAGAGTGTGGTCGGTGTGAATATTTATCTAGGGATTAAAACGGAGTAGCTCACAACATAGCAAGGTGGGCGGTCTCTACGCATTTCTCTTGTGTTTGGAGTGTTTTCCTTCCTACTTGTTTCCCCTCTTTTTTTTATTTTTTATTTTTTTGGTTGTATCAGACTAATGCTCTCTTTTGGTTGTTTCAAGTACAAAAACAAAAAAGAAGTTGTATACTAAAACAAGTATCGGTGAAAGTGAGGGTTCAAATGTTTTTCAATGGTAATAAATTGAAGATAAGTATGTTGTTTTTGTAGCATACTACATTTCAACCGCTAGTCCTTTTTCAAACTTTGAATTTGTAACCAAACAATAAGCCGAAGAATTTAGACGAGGGGCTAATACATTAAGAGCTCGTTTGTTTGGGAAGACAGGATTAGATAATTTAATCTTGTCACACAAGATTAGGGGTGTAGAGATCAAAATTATTTCATGTTTGTTATCCTTGATTCATTCAAGATGGTATTAGTGTTTTGAAATGTAATTTTTGTTTGTTATCCATGATTAACATTAGGATTAGAAGTACAATTACATATTTGGCCCTTATTAGAATATTGATTTGCATGCCTTTTTTTTAATTTGTACGTAAGTGGTGTTGTTTTTTTTTTTTTTTTTTTTTTTTTTTT